AGTGTACATCCATTCTACAACAGACCAGCAGGCAGACACATTGACAAGCCCTACAGAGTCCAAGCAAGAGAATGAAACAATTGCAATGCTTGTTACAGCCAACTCATGCAATGATTCATGGCATTGAAACTACTTCAAACTTATCTTCAAAGTTGACAGTAGAGCTGGCCAAAGATGTAATTCCCAAGTCAGCAAACTGGTTCCAGAATTTTATTGTGAATACCTCCACGTGTTTGAAGAATTCAATTCCAGTGTGCTGCCACCACACAGACCTTACACTTTTTGAGTGGACTCAATCCCTGGTGCTACTTTGAAAGCAGGTTGAGTAATCATCCAGCAAAATCAGATTTACCAATTCTCTGTGGGCGGCTCCAGCATTATTCATGGAAAAACCAATGGGAGGTTGAGAACCTGCTTTTATTACAGAACACTGAAGGCTGTCACTGTCAAGAACAGATATCCATTACTGCTAACATTGGGACTCATAGATAGTGTATTGATTGTAGGAAATTTCACAGGTTTAGACATGGGTAATGGGTATAATAATCTCAGAGTTAGAGAGGTATATGAGGCAAAGTTAGCTTTTGAATGCAAGGCCAGCCAATTTGAATCACTTTTTACGCCCTTTGGACCTACTGGACCCCCTGGATTTTTTCAATACTTCATACAAGCTATCTTGAAAAGTCATATTGAATGGGATGTAGCTGCTAGCTGTCCAATTGTTCAATGTTCTCCTCATCCTTCCTTTGGTACACACATCCACAGCCAACACTTTTTAATGAAGGTGGCATATTTACTTTTGTTTCAACATATTCCTTCTCTGATTCCCTCCCTTTTAAGGAAAGCTGAATTTCTGCTCGAAATTTGAGCAATGACAACTGTGTACATGGGTGCATTGAGTGCATGGAAGGTGTTTGCAATCACTCCATTACAGCTCTATATTGTGAGCTTGTCCTGTCAATTGTTCTGATTGCGGGTCTAACCCAATCATGTTTAGATGCTGTTTGTTCTATTCCTTTCAACATGAAATCTCATTTCATTTCCACTTTCTACTCTTTGTTATTTTCAAACTCCCATTTCATGGTGCTTTTACGTGTCCTTGCTTTTGAAAGTGAGGTGCATTTCACTTTTAGCTTGATTTTACCCTGCCTGTGCCTTGTGAGCTAGACTATCAAAAAGTGTCATTTTGGTATCATTTTGGTGGTCGTCTCATCCACACAGCCCTTCTACAATTCATCAATCATTCTATTTTCAATATTCAAACATCCTACAATATCCATGAAGCTGTTAATCATTGCTGTAATTAATTTTTGTATGTTCATGCCAGATTGACATACACCTTGTTTGTTTTTTTCTATTTGTGTCTTAGTTATTAATCATACTCACACCTGGCACCTTTTTAGTGGCCCAAGGCGTGTCCAGAGCCATGGCCTGGCATGGTGTGGCCCAGTGTGGCCTTCCATTCAAACAACCTCAATCCCTCATTTTTAGCTGCTAATCCCTGCTCAAGACAATCTTTAGGGGGGCTTCAACTGAACTTCATACCCTGTGAAGGTCATGAATGGGCTGGGGTGAGGGCCACGGGTGGCCTAAGCCCTGGTCACTGCCATGTGCCCCATCAGGGCACCTTGTGGCTTCATGGCAACGGGTGTGAGTGTGGATTAACAATTGACAACACCACCAATCAACCTCTCCACAACCACCAAACTTGATGCTCACATACATGTAAACATTGTACACTTTCCTGAATTCTCCAAAAAAGATTGCTTCTCTTTCAGATTCCTTCAATTGATGATTTTGGCAGTGCTCAGGTGATCAGGCTGTTTTGCTCTAAATTTTCTGTACATTCCTGAAGTATGCTTGTGTCCATCTTGGATGAGCATCCTCTGAACTCAGTTTCTCAGATGAGTACTTAGAATCATTACATGAGTCACTGAATACTCAGTATAGCTCAGCACCTTGTCCAAAATCCCGGATCAGCAGGCCCCAAGGCATGACACTAGAAACATCTGAGCAGCTGGGATGAAGTGAGAAGATGGGCCAGCCCTTCCTCAGGCTTCTTTGCTCAGGAGCAAAGCCTGAGGAAGGCCTAGTTGATCTGCTCAGTTCCTGTTTTGCTCAAATTTGGCTGTACATTGCTGGGGAATGCTCATTTTCATTTTGAATGAGCATTTGTTGAGCTCAGTCTCTCAGATGAGTACTCAGAATTAGTTCATGAGTCACTGCATACTCAGAACAGCTCAGCACCTTGGCTAAAACCCCATATCAGAAGGCTCCAAGGCATGCTTCTGAGGATCAGCTAAGTGGCTGAGATGAAGTGAGCAGATGGGCCAGCCCTCCCTCATGCTTCTTTGCTACGGAATGATTCCTGAGGAAGGCCTAGGTTATCCTCTCAGTTCCTCTCTATCATGGCATCAGCTGACAAGCACGTATAAAACAGGAAGAAAAGCAAAAGAATTTGGAAGTAAAATTGAACAAATGTTGAAAAAAACAATAAAATTTCAATGTTCACCCCAATGTGAGCATCTATTTTTGCTCCTGTGAATAGTCTGTAAGGGTATTTCTAGAACAAAATCTTTGGAGTATTGAGTGACATTTTTGGCATACATAATTTGAACTACTTTTCTCTGTTGTGTGAATTGTAACTTATTTGTTTCAACCTATATATATCAAGTGTAAGGAAGACAATAGCTTTGCAGATTGCTATAAAGCCCTGAATATAACACTGAAGGACAAAAGGTTGCTTCTGCCTGTAGACATCAACCATTACGGTGTGATTCATTGAATCTGAAACTCCCTGCACTTGAATATGTGGAAATTACTGAAGCATTTCATAAAACACAGATAGCTACTCTTGCCGGATTATCTTGTTGCCTCAAGTTAAACACCTAGTTTGTACCTATATACTGTTATGTGGTAAGACATTAGGTGTATTTCAAACTTAACAAACATCAACATTCAATGTGGATATTTTTGGGAGTAAAAAGGTTGTTTTGCACCAGGAAGGTTCTTGTCCTTATGCTAATAGGTGTATATGTGATCTTTTGGTTGGCTTGTCAGATGCCCCTCATTACCACTGAGCTCTATATAGCAACTGACTCATTTGGTACAATGCAGTCAAAATATCTCAACCAATTTTTTCCCATAGTGACTATTTAATTTTCAGCTCTGTGTTGCATCCAAGCTAAATATGAGGCCTAATTGTATGGAAAGGGAATGCACCTTTCAATGCCATGGTGTGGTCAAGTTGACAGCCTTGCAACTCTTTGACTACAACATAGAAGACTGTGTTATGACACAAACGATAGCCAATCACATGAGGGGTAAACTGGTGAATGGGCTATCAAAGGGGAAAGAACCGATGAACTCTTTATCAGGTTCTGAATTGGAAGCTCTAAAAAGATCTTCACATGACTCAATATTCAATAACGATACTGAAATATGCTGAGACTCAAATACTTTTGTTTTTGATTGAGGGGATTTAGAAATTACAATTTCTTCACATCCATTACTTTGTATGGCATTGCCTGAGGATAAGAGAGAATGATCCCTTGTAATAAACTTTCTAGAACAGGAAGCTAGTGGGACATTTTTGGTCTTTGAGGTCATTGTTCAAGGTCAAAATTAACCAGCAGTTGTACCAGGAACAATTAAAGAATAGTTAATATTAAATCAATAAAACTGTATGTGTAAACACAGGAAGCAATGTTTGGTAGCATTATAACCAGTGTGAGTGACCTTAACCATCATTCAATGTAGAAATCCTGCTTTGGGCAAGCAATCTGGCAAGTGGTACCAGACACTGTCTGTGATGGTGGTGCAGGAACCATTCAAAGTTGTTGGCCTACATGAAATTGCGACAGCTACAAGAGGGTAATCAGGAAATCTAAAAGAATGTTCTGGTCATTAAGGATAGTGAACATACTTAATGCAATATCTTTGCAAATCTGCTGACGGACCAATTCAGGTATGGGACCCAGAATTGTTGTGCTTTTTACTTTGATGGTTAATACAAAACAGTGAGAATATGTGAAGTTTGGGGAAAGTGAGTAATGTTCCAATTTTTAGGTGGATGGCTTGGGTCAGGCAGAGTCTGTTATAATTACATAATTGTGCGTGTGTACTTTCTGGTCAAAAGATCATCTGGATAGGAAGTTCGTGAGAATATGTCCATAGATTTTGCAATCAATGCATTGCCTGATCAGCCCCTAAATGATGTGACATGTATTATATCTGATTCACAATTTAATTTTTGAGAGTCTCACTGTTTCTGGGTAGTGTTCACTGGTTGACAAGCATGCACGACTTCCCTTTCTGCCTCAAAGGGAGTTGGTGTGGGCTTGTCAACAAGCAAACCCTACACAGACACAGTGTCTGAGTATAAAGATCATTGATGTTCACATATGTAGCAAGACATGATAACTGGATACAATTGTAGCATAGCACCTCTGTTGCAGGCATGCCCACATAGTGTCTAGTCAATTAACAAAAAAGGAAAGTTTTATTGGACCAACAAAGACACAGAGCCTTCAAAAACCTGAAAACTGCCTTCACAACAACACATGCTACTCTGCACAACGCACAACATACTATGTGTGCTGTGACACCTGAAACCAATTAAAATGCATGTTTTTGTACATTTTGGCATTGTGGCATACTTTTTCCATTTGACTTTGTCAACCTTTCACGCACGACCCATGATGATGGGTTGCCTTCGCCTTGCACCCAAATCAGGAATTTGTGTAGGTTTGCATTTAGAAATGACACAAAAAGTGTTGCTATTAGTGCCCATATATATTGGCCGGAGATGCTGCACAAATTACAATGATCCCACACAGCAAGAATGATTTTGAGATGATGTAGCAAACTGAAGAAATTACCTTCCATGAACGTATTCAAGTAGCTGGTCATCTTCCAATGTTCCTGCAGCCTGGGTTGCCTGCTTGTGCTTTACCGACCCAGGAAGCACATGACCTCAAATTGACTGGGGGCCACTTCGTTCATTCCGAAGGCCGGCTGAGGTCTTCGGGACCAAAGCTCATTGGCAAAAGCTCTCCCAAAGTCTTGATGGTCACCTTTGTCTTCAAATCTTCCGCCGCGCGAAACGAAGCCGATGCCATGTAAATCGGCATCTGTTCGTCGGTTATTTCGGATTTAGAAGCGCGCTCTTTCAATATCATCATCCCTAGGCGCTGTTAAGATACGTAAGAGAAAATGAGACTACTCAACTTCCAGTTGGCAGAATTCTCGGGCAAATTGGCGACAGACACCACAAGGTGAGCAAGGGCCGTCTATATCACTAAGCTGGGTCGGATTATAAATTTCCATCAGTATAACTTCACTCGAAGCTTAAACCTTTAGGCTTGGGCATTTTGCAGATGGTCAACTATCATGCGCTAGCGGGAAAAATCACTCAACGTGGCAACCGCCAATGCTTTGAATTTGGTTTTCCCTTCGCTCTGAATGCGGTAACACCGCGCGAGGAGCAGGAGTGAGATAGCCAAGGTCATACGAGAATCAGTCCCGGTCACCAATCAAGGTATATGAGACGAATGGGGAAGAGCTTAACAACCGCTTTCGCAAACGCAGTCCGCTCTGCGCATGTTCCAGGAGCTAGATGAGATTCGTAAGGTCAGGTCGCACTTCATCAGCGTTCCGTGTAATTGGATGCAGAAGCATTGAAGATGACTGTGGCTTGTTTAAGAAGGGAGAGGACTCCGACAATGAACATGGGCAAGAGACACTGTCATCCCAAAAATCACCAGCATGCATTCGCGCCCTTCACAAAAAACAAAACTTACTGAAAGCCGCGTTCTCAACATTACACCCTGTGATCACCTCATCGGAGGTGGTCAGTAATGCCGCCCCGACGCGGAATTTTGAGCTGTTCCATCATGACGCAGCAAGCCATACATTAACCCTTCTGCTCAACGCGACCCAGTGAATTGTCGCAATGGAACCTACTAGGGTGAGTACGAAAGTTCGCGCGCTGTTCGAAGATATGGCGAGTAACAAGGAATATATACGATTCAAGGCAAACGAGGTTGATCTGATTAGCTGTTCATCGGTCCGTAACATCTGCCCTCCGGGAAGACTTGTTCGCAGTTCCTAGTCCATACTGATAGGCGAAAGTTGGCGGACGCACCACTTAACGCACTTCTACATAGAAGTATTATTTGATCTTCGGTGACTTGATTGGATTCGTCGCCCATTCCGAGATGAAGTCTTGCTCAGCTTTATACTCTGAATCTGAGAGTTTGGTAAGCTAATATGAATCCCGACTCGAGCGGGGCGCAATGACCGGGTCGTCAGCTTGCCCGGATCAAACTGGGTCTCGGTGACAATGCAAAATGCCCTTGCGTGTGCTAAATGCACAAAGGCGGATTCTTTTCTAACTTACTTCTCAACAAAAACTTGCTCTGATCGAAATCCAAAGAAGTATGAGTCTGAAGGGTAGATCTGACTGTCGTATTTCACCTACAGGCATGATACAGCCCCAGCCCCATGCTTATATGCAAACACTTTCAAACCACAAGTCTCACACCACGCCCGCCACGTGATTGCCTGCGGCAAACACAACCTTTCACCAACCCACATATCATGGGTTTGCACCAGCATACTGCTGCATGAACCTCGCACCCACATAGCGTGTAATTGAAGAATCCTGGCATCTTTTCTCAAATATCAACAAGTCAGAAGAAAATAATCACTAGGATTTAGTATGAGGCTGGAGTATTGCATCATTGAATGGTTAACTTGACTAGCTGGTTGAGGAAATGCTTGGGACTACCAACGTCTACTTCTTTTATATGTAGTCATCAAGTTTTCTGGTTGATTGCGTCCTCTTGTGTTTTTTCATCAGGAGACTGAGGCGGACAAAAATGGCCATATGATTTTCACGATTCTTCTGTGTTGCTGCAATCAAGATTAAGCATCATCACCCTACAAAATACCCTGATTATCAGCAACCAAGATATTCTCCATGTGATAAAGATGCTCAATCACTTAATTACAGTGTAAGAGATGATTGAATCAAAACCTCGCCAATCCATGAAGGATTTGCTTTTGGACCAATGTCCGTACCAGCAACAAGGATGCTCAGGATTAACTTGATAAACACGTCAAATATGCAAAGCTTGCCATTCCCTTAATTACATCAAAATACCCATTTGTTACAGAGCGCAGTGGTCCTCATTCTTTATAACACACTTCTCTTACCTTCTGATTATATATTCTCAATGCATCAACTCAAACAGTTTCCATTGAAAATCACATTCATAGCAATAGAATATAAGGCAGAATATATAGGATAGTATTTGCTATCTGAACCTTGCTTAAGAAATTTCTCCAGAACCCCAAATCACTCGATAACAACAAGCTACAATACAACAGATCAGCTATTTCTTCTTCTTCTTAGGTTCAACTACAGCAAATCCTAATCCATCATTCTTCCAGGCAGGCTGAAATTCAAGTGCATCAGCCATATCAGAGGTTGTCTTAACTGTTACGGACACATGACTATTAGCACATGTTGGGGAGAGTTTTGAAATGCCCATTCTCTCCATCACCTTCGCAGGTTGACAAGTATTGAACTCTTTTGCATATTGTTGTCTGTCCAATTGAGCTGCATAAACACCATCTGAGACTATCTCTACTACGGATCCGCCCGTATCAATAGGAAAATCTACTAACATATTCATTAAATTGTCCACCACCAAAAGAAATGAAAGTAAAAATGATCAGAATTGGACAAGATCAGAACTGCTTGACAAAAAGATCAATCTAACCATTGTTCATCCCTCTTGGGTCCTCACATTCTGTGAATTCAGCAGGCCAAGGCAGCATGGGGCTAGCAAGCCTCGTACGCAGCATAATCAGCCTTGGGTCACCACAGTAGAAGAATATGTGAATTATTGTTATGTTTGTAGACAAGAGCTGTATTGACATGTATTATTCGCTGATAATTATCATGTGATAATTATCAGAGAATATACAATTGTCCGATGCTCCCAGTCTAAATGAGGATCACACTATTTGGAGACCGGTTTGAAATTTCAAGCCCGGTTTTTGACTTTTGAAATGCTTTCTTCAGCCTGGTTTGAGTTCAAATGAAACCGGGCAAACCGGTTTGTTTCAAATTGTAGAATCTCAATTTTGTAGAGACCTTACTCTCAAATTGTCTCTCTCCAACCATTTCATTTCAGATGCAATTTTGTTTGTATTGTTTTGTGAAAATGAGATATTTTGTTTGTATTCTCATTGCAAGAAACATTACATAAAACAAACATAGCATAGCATAAACATGTTCTATGAAGGAACGTGACATTTGGTAACAAACAAGCGTGACACAAGTATGATGTCTTGTCTGACAGCAGTAAGAAAAAGATTACAACAAAGGCCAACAACAAGTGGGTTAAAAGCTTTTTAACAACTACACACCAACTTGATTAGTCCAATTCGACAATTGACATCTGGACTCTCCAACCCAAAGGGGTATTTTAGTGCTTTCAAGCCTGTCAGGGTTGCGATCCCAACCCCACACTTTTGGAAATGGGAGAGACCACGGGTCTTTAGGCCCTAAACGAATGAAAGAGTTGTTGTCAACTAAAGCCAGAAGTATTGGAGTTTGCTTGTTTGGTGTGGTGCAATAAGGGAAATAACTGCAAGAGTTTCCCGCTTGTGGGTCCAATAGTAAAGGTGGACAATCACATGCGCTCGCAATGACGTATCCCATATATGGCATACGCAACCAGTACTTTTGAGAACACTCAATTTTGTGGTAGTCCAGGCAAACGAGAAGGTCTTGTATCACTTTGGCAGCAAACAATTGATGTTTGCAAGTTTTCATCAATGGTCAGGTGAAAGCAGAGGATATGAGCAATATTTGATCTTGAGCATGTGTTGAAAGTTTGTTTAGTAAACTTCTTCTGACATCAAGGTAAGTGTTCTCGGAATAAGCCCCAATTGCAGCTGCTATTGCATGATATTCACAGTTACTGGAAGCCGGTGGATTGAAAACCAAAAGGATGTAAGGAACCATAAATCATGGCAGCTGCCTCAAAAGGTGTTGATCTTGAGGCAAAGTCAATGCGCTCTTCTCACAGACGCGCATCGCATCTGCATCTTCTGCACCATCTACACCTTCCTCGGGAATCGCGTGAACGGCATTGCCAAAGACCCGGCTTGTGTCCAAGGTTGCCTTGATCTTGGGATCTCCTTTAGGCAGGTCCAAGTCTTCAGAAAGGGGCAGCATTGTCACCTTGGGAAGGAGAACATGTCAAATGAAATAATCAGGGGGAAACAGTTTTGACTTGGTCACATCAACCACCAGAATAGATCCAGACAAAAACATTATGGTCAAAGTCTTGATAATGACTTGATGACCTATTTGTCCATAACTATATAACATTGTGGTCAGTTTCAAAGATTGACAAGTCTGGGGGGGAACCATATTCACTACCCTGGATGCTCCACCGCTAAACATCAAACGACCCTGATGTTCCCATTTCTCCTGGGCTTCATTGAGGAAAAGGGATGATGTGGACTAGATGTATGGAATGCGTTTGAACCCGGCTATGTACAAGAACACAAAAATTTTGTAATTTTTCCCTTACAAAATCAGTTTATAGAAGGATGCTTACTGTGCCAGTAATTCAAAGTCGATTGAAGTCCGCCATCCCTCGCAGATTCCCAAAGGTACCATGTTGCGTTCAATGTGATGAAGATCACAAAAATATGCTGTCTGTGGAAACTAAAGTGGAACACTCATCAGCGCTCTCTCATGAACAAAGACCAGAGAATGTTTAAGAAAAACTGAATAAAACAAGATAGCACTCACAGGTAAAGACATTGCATTTGGTCCCCCACCCTCTTGGGTATGTTTGGCAAAACAAAAAGAATTGCTTTGAGGGTTAGAAGTTTTTGGGACGGTCCTGACGGCATGGGGTTGTCACAGAAGGGACAAAGATTGTCATCATCTTCATTATCAGACCAAAGTGGGGTGATGCTGCTGCTCTTGCAGAGACAGCCAAATCCTCTGGAGCTTTCTCCCAAAAATGTTCCAAATGAACCGGGTTGTCCAGTTGTAAAGACAAGTTTGTGGATGTTTGAGATTGGGTGGGCACATGCGTTTGCTTCTGAATTGGGCATTTGTTGGCACAATGATTAGGTAGCTTGCACATACTACCACCATGTAAATATCCGTGTAGCACGTCGACGTGCACACACGGAGAGTTTTGAAATAAATCTCAAAGTCTTTTGGTCGGATTGAGACTGAGATTTTTGTTGAGCGCCCTTTGTTCTTTGTGATTTGTTTAAAGGATTTGCAGAATCCTTTGTTGTCAGTGGGAGCCAACTGACTTTCAACCTCCCAGGTGATAAGGGGAAGATGTACTTGTCGTGGAACCTCTTTGATGGGTCGTTACAGGGTCCAAGGAAAGTCTTTCGTGTGTGCACGTCGATGTGCTACACGGATATTTACACGGTGTACATTTGTATATACATCTTGTTTTGGTGGTTTGACTCGCTTGAGAATGGCCTTGAGGTTGAGTCAAAATAGATTGGTTTTGAAATGACATGGGGTTAACCAAAGGTGCTTGACATGCTTGAGAAGTGGCCAGAACAGCAGTTGATCTGGGAGAAGTTTTAAAAGAAACTCACAATGTGGGTTTTTCTAATACAACTGCAAGTGGGAGCTGAGTGAGGGAGGCCGGTTGGGTGATTTGAGTTTCTTCTGGTGATTTGTCTGATTCTAAGTCCAGATCCCATTTGGCAGGGTCAACCAAACCTTCATCAGTCATTTGGACAGTGCAAGTTGTCCAGTTATGGCCAGGCTGCGAGCAATACCCGCATGTTGACGTTGAACCACATGTTTTTTTGGCTTGAATTTGAACCTCAGCTGTGTCTTTGACCTCCATGTTGGATTTCCAGAGACCTTCCTTCACAGCCCCCATCTACTAGGCTCTGGAAGGTCAGAGCCTACCACTAACTCCATGAAAGATTCATGAAAGATTCAGAAAGATTTTAAAATGACTTCAACATAATATCATATGGGGCCATTTGCCAGTCCGACCACCAAAATTCCAATGTCATCATATGACGTCATAAATCTGTACACACCTGCTCCTGTATTCACAGATCAAGAATATATAGTCTGATTTAATATTACATGAGCAAGAAAGAAGGAGTAGCAGCTGTGTAATGTGGTACAAATGGATGGATTTTGTCAAAATTGACAGTTTTCGGCTTATTACATATGTCAAATGACGTCAGGATTGGAGGGTAGATGGCTCATTCAACCCAGAAGAGTAGATTACATAAGGCACAATTCCAAAACCCCTAGTAACAGAGGTGTGTGTAAGAAGTTATAAGGGAAACAAGAAACTGGTGTGAATTTCAAAATTTACACTTACATGCATACATGTAACAACATTCACATACAAAAAACTTAACTTCACAACTCAATAACCCATTCATTACTCATTATAAATACCTGATATCGCACCAATTATTGATCTGCATCGCGATCTCTACAAGATGCACTTTAGTAGTCCAGAATTGGACATCATTTGGAAAAACTCGTAATCTCAAAAATAAATTTTTAGCTAGTTTACAAGGAAAAAATCACCTGTATTCATCATAGGAAGTGCTGTACATCATTAAACTACGTCATTGATCACTTCTGGCTGTTTGAATTACATCATACATTAGTAACAAGATCAGTACATTGCATCACCATATGGTTTTTAGGGGTTTTTGAGGCTGTTGAGGATTGTAGAAGTTGTTACACATTGATATATGTGCTCACTGATGGTTTTGGCACAGTTGTTCCCTTTTATGCATCTTATACCTTTGTTGTAGTGTTATAAATCATCATTTATTTGCTACATTTGTATTAATTTCACTTAACTCTGCCCCTTCAAAGCACAGAGAAATTTATTTACGCATGTTCAAGACTATAATTCTCTTTGGGAATAATACTTATAACAGCATTGCTAGTAATTGATATTGCTTTGTGATCTTTTGCGCTCAAAAACTGGAATAATACTCATTAAAAGCATTGAGAAACATCTCTCTGGTGCCTTTATCTGCTTCTGTTATCACAAAATGTTCAGCAAGTGCCCTTGTGCTGGTTTCTTTGAAGCAGGCAGTTTTTAGGCAACTTCTACTATTCTTACATTAGTAGATTAACCCTTCTTAGGTGTTGTAAAGCTCTTGTTCAGCTTTAAATACTACACTGTCTATGTTGGTAGAATTATTATCAAGTATCACAAAATATGACATGCAATCAAACTCATACTATCTCTTGTTTGAGAGTGCCCCAAAAGAGCCTATTCTGTCCTCACAGTCCTTAAAAAAATTGAACAAAATATACTAGAAGCTGCTTCCCCTGAACAGCTTTCTGAAAGTTTTTTGAAAGTGTCAAGATTATAAGTAGCATTTTAAGGTAGGGACAGTTACAGCCGTTGTAAGATCCACTGGCAGATTTTTGAAAAGATTTGTTGTCGCCAGATTTAACTTTTCAAGTCAAAAACTCAAAACTATATCACTTTCACAGCGAACTCTATTTTCCTGGTGCAGATTGGACCAATGGCAATGCTGTATGACTACACTACTCAACACTATCAGGACCAATCTGGATAGTTAAGATGAGCAAGTCAACATATTAAGTCAGTAATGTTATTCTGGGGACCGTAAGCTAAGACTTTCACATTAGCGTAACTTGAACAAGCTAACATAATTTTTTGAATTGTCATAACACAGTTGTAGTGCGTTATCAAAACGCGCTAACAACTATCCTAGTGGAAAAAAGATCAATGAACTTTCCCGATTGCCGGATCATTCAAATTTCATATATTTATATTCTTTTGATAACCAAACAGGATTGTTATGATAGATGTGCTTGGGCTTGGAAATCGATATCCTTTGAATATGTTGCTGAACTGACTTATGGGCATGATCATCCATGTTGGTTTTGGTGATTGTTTCAAAGTGGCAATGTCACAAGAAGTCAATTTCCCCTAGATTTTGATATGTGTCTGATTTTGATTGAGACTGACAGCCCTTTGTGGTTGGTTTTGCAATTTTTCAACAGAGATGGCCTGAAAGGATACTATTAGGTTGACTTAAATATTGTTATTCCACCTACTGGAAATTAGTGGGGTTGAAGGTACTTACCAAATCTCCAGTGAGAACGCAATGAGAGTGATGAGATCAAATAAGGAAAGTAATGTTTGGAAGCTTTTGTACACAATCCCTTGATTAGTTAAGGGCGGTCAACAATTGGATGAACAAGAGGGAGATGCTAACACCGGTGTGGTGAGCAAGATCTCTACTTAAGCAAAAAAATTGAAAATTATGTGAAAATTCGTATTTTTGGTCAAAGGCAAATTTATTATTGAAGTTATTAGTCATCAAGGGTATCAAAGTTGATTCATAATCTGCATTTCATTATCTTTCAAATCATATATTTATATAAGCAATTGATAAGACCATTTAAGAGTAAAGAAAAAATTGAAAAGATCAGTGAAAATAGTATAAGAGTGAAAATTAAATTAAAGAATTAGTAAGAAGGGATTTGAGGAAGAAGAACATTTAGTTTGGATCTTGAGGAATGGAAAAATTTTATGAAAAGAATGAAAGAAGAAGAAGAATATTAAGAAAGTTGGAGGATAATTCAAAAATATGGGTATGAAAGGCTGGAAAATGGTTTTTAGGTTATTATTATAAGAGTTATTGGTTCAGGAAGGTTTCATTATGAAAGGGAAGGGAAACATTAGTCATCATCAACTTCAATCACGAGGATTGATAAGGGAGGTGTGAAATTATTCAAGAAAAGGGAAATTTCGAAAAGGGGTACTATGGTATTAATTCCTGTGTAGTGATGTCATTGATGGATTGATTGTGCCAAGGGTTTTTCAGAGTGATTTTAGTGCTGTGCGATTGATTGGAGTGCTGTGGAATGATCTTTTGATAGAAGGAAAATCATTATTAGACGTGAAAGTAGTCAAAATTCATCAAAAATGGAGGTTTTTGGCTGATTACATATGTTGAAACTTGTCAGAATGGGGTGTGTGATAGTTCATTCAACGCAGAATCATTGTTTTCATAATGTACAACCTTTAAATCGTTATTAACAGAGGAGTAGTGAAAAAGTTATAAGGCAACAAAGAAACTGGAGTGATTTTCGAATTTGGAGGTTACATGTGAGATTTACATGACAAAACTTTATTTTCTCAATCTTTACAACTCAATAACGTATTCATCGCACTTCAGAAATAGGTCATATGGGGGTGATAAATGATCAGTATCACGAGGGCTATCAAATGAGCTATAGTAATCAAAAATTGAACAACTTTACAAAAAATTCGTAATTCCAAAAATGGATTTCAGCTATGAATATTAGGAGAAAATCACCTGTATTCATCATAAGAAGATCTTTTCATCATTTATTAACATCAATTGATCAAATTCACGCCTTGAATCATTACAAACAATAATATTTATGACATCATATGATTACATTGGAGGATTTTTATTGATTTTGACAGTTTTTGAAGGTTTTTGGAGGTTGTTGACCATTGTTGCAGGTTGTTAGAGGGTTATATACTATTGTTAGGGATTTTACGTGCCTTTGTTCCCCTTTTTACTCATCTTATACTTTTGTTAGAGTGTTTTTAATCATCATTAAATTACTTTAGCAGTACTAAGTTCACTAAATTGCCCCTTTACATCAAAGGAGAGATTTCTTTACGTGTGATAAGACTACAAGTCTGCATTGGAATAACAATCAAACTGATTGTTACTTTGCTAGTAATTAAAGTTGTGTTTTATTGTGTTCAAATTGGAATAACACTATAGCACAGTTGAGGTTTCTTAATTTCTAAAAATCACGGGAATAATACTTGAATTAAGTATTGAGACAATTTCTCTGGTGCCTTATCCCAAATAATTCAGCAAGACCCCGTGTTGATTCTTTCAAAGAGGCAGTCTCAGGCAACTTCTACTAGTTAGTTATATTAGTAGATTATCCCTCTTTAAGCTCTGTAAAGCTCTTGTTGAGCTTTAAGTTCTACACCGGTAGGAGATGAAAACTTCAAAATGTTTCTTTGTAGGCAGTGCAGGGGTATGCTGACAAGCTAACAGCTAACATCAAATCTTGACGTCTCTTAACGTAGATGGAAGAATACAACCAACACTACAAACATAGTGATCCCAAGTCATCATAGATTCTGGGATCCGGAAGCATAGATCACCAGAGCTAACGGAAAGAGTTGGTGTAGATGAGTGAAAAAGTTACGCTAACAGCTTCTCTAACAATTTTTTGGCGTAATTGGTCCAGCATTGCCAATGGACAGTAGATTCATCAATCTCAAAAGGGTTTTTTTTTAGTTTTGACCTCTGCATCAAATCTAGCACAACACAAAGCTCGCGGAATCTGCCAATAGATATGACAACGGCTGTATATTTTAGGCATTTTTTTGATATGGATTTGCCTATCAACCCTCTAGAATCCTTGAGAAGGTCTGTGACTGGACGTCATGGTCATGGTTATGTCAATGGGAATTATACTGGAGTGAGTTTGCTAAGTTAGACTGCATTACTGTCACAACTTGTATTGCTGGTAAGTGAGGCTTTTACTAGCTATGAAAGGTAGGGTCCTGGGGTGGTGGGGTACTGGGATACCCCGAATAAAACTTACAGTATCCCTCATTAGAGGGATATTCACATGTTTTCCCCTTCAGATACTTATATGTGTATACATGGAAATTGATGGTACCGTTGTGCCTATGGGTACCTATGAATGTCTTTGGAGTCAAAAATTTGCAAAACCTAGGAATTGTTGCGTTTGGGTCATGTTCTTAGGTGTCGGCCAATCCTTCACCGCAGACACCTTCAGAGGGTCCATTCAAGCTTGGTTATTTGAGATAAGCAATCCTAAGTAGTCAATCTCTTTACGCAAGGATTTGCACTTCTTGGGCTTCAACCAAATTGAATGGGATTCCAGGACTCGGAGTACCTCCTCTACCACGGCTTCATGGTTGACGCCCTCTGGGGAATAAATCAGCAGGTTGTCAAGGTATGCCGCCGAGTCTTTTCCAATTTTATCACGGAAAATATCAGAGATGAAGAATTGGAAATAGCCTGGGGCCCCCGTAGGTCCAAAAGGCATCACCAACAGTTCAAATTGGCCTCTTTTACATATGAACGCTAACTTTGATTCATCCCCTTCATGTAGTCGCAGATTATTATGTCCATTCCGCATGTCCAGGGACATGTACTTCTCAGTGTTCCTTGGGCTGTTGACCAATTCCACCTTCAAAGGCAAAGGGCATCAATTCTTTACTGTAACCACATTCAATCTTTGATGGTTGAAACAAGGGCAAAGGTTCACATCCTTCTTGCCTGTGAACAGGACAGGTGCTGCCCAAGGTGAGCGTGTACGCCGGAGGGTTCCTTTCTCAAGAACTTTGCCAATCATAGCATCCATTTCTACTTCTTTTGCAGGCAATAGTGGTATGATTTTACCGGCTTGTGGTGTTGCTCCAGGGATCAGATCTACACGGAAGTTGTATTGGCGCTGTGGTGGTAAGGTCATTGCATTCTTCTTCCTAAACATGTTGATGAATCAATGATACCGTGTGGGTACTAATTCTTTGGCCATCCGTTCTGTCTTCCCCTTTGAGGCATCCACAGCTAACCTTGCTGACACGTGCCAGGAAGTCATACTCAAGCAGAGATGGGCGGAACTAATCAGAGGGCAAGAAAGCTTGTCATCTGGGTTAGGGGACATGGTAGGTGTGTTGGCATGCTCACATTGCGGGGGCTTTATCTCTTCAATATGGTCATTGTTGAGAGCCCCCTTGCCAAATTTCCTAGCTTGCCCCTCCACGGACGCAGGATTTTCAGGGGTGTTTTTTGGATTAGGCAACGCTGATACAGGGGCAATGGTTAAGTTGGTTGTTGGGGTCATTTGAATTGTAGTGGTTGAAGTACCAGTCTTGGTAGGTTTGGCCTGTTCAGAGTTATTCAGGAGGCAAAGATGCTTGTCATCTGTGGGAGGGTGAGGTGGAACAACGGTATCATGATCGCATTGCGGGGGCTGTATCTCTTTGAAATGGTCATCATTGAGAGCCCCCTTGCCTAAATCCTCAGCTTTCCCCTCCACAGACGCAGAGTTGTCAGGGGTTGTTGTCGGTATAGGCGACGTGACAGCGGCGGTGCCATCACGGCATTGGCAGGTGAGTCTTTTGGCGCTATGCTTCCATCCTTCCAGTTGATTTGGTGACCATTCTCACAGAGCCATGGCATTGCTAGGATCATGTTGTAGGAGTCTTTGATTTTGGTCACAAGGAATTGAGATGGATTGTCCGCATTGTTGATGAACAGTTTGGCATTGTGGGCAACGCTACGCGGCTGTCCATCAAAACTGTAGATGTTGCCTGCTTCGGCTAGAGCAGCTATAGGAAGCCCCACCTTGTTGGCAAAGGTGGGTCCTAGCACCTCATGTGTCGACCCACAGTCAACAAGGGCTCAAGCTCTCACTTTAGGTTTGGGATCGGGGTCATGTTGGAACGTGGTGTGGGGGAATTGTGAAAGGGAAATGGTAGTGAAAATACATGGATCATTTAAGCTTTTCTTTGCACAACTATCATTTTCAGCAATTTCTAAGAATTTCCGCCCGTTGCCACTTAGGGGTGGCACATCCGTAACTCCTAAGCGTCTCCATTTTTTGACACATCCAATCTACCACTACCATCCCCCAATCTACCCTCCAAAGCAGAAATTTTAGCCTCCAACTCCGCCACCTTCCTTGTCTCCTTCCCCTTGCCCCCTTTTCTCCCCTTTCTACTCAGACACCACCTTGCTGAATGACCTGATACGTACTTCACAATTGTAGCATAGCCTCTCTTCACCCCGTTGGTTGTACTCGGTGGAAGAAATGCCGGACTGAGTACTAGAGATGTCCATGGCATAAGGGTTGGTAGGGCGACTGATGCTGGCGGGAGGAGTGTATTCACCGCGGATGTCATTGTCAATTGCACATGCTAGGGCCATAATGCTCTCAAGGTCCTCAAACTTCTTCCAAATCATAGCCAATCAAACCTCACGCTTTAAGCCTTGACAATAATGACTAATCAAGGTTGGTAGCTCCCATTGTGTAGCGGGGGCAAGTTGATTGAAGCTGACGGTGTATTCAGCGGCCGTCTTGGTTTGCTTCCAAACCCGGAGTGCCGCCTTGGCTTGTTTTTGGCAATCAG